ATCCACGTCATCATTTACCCAGAATGCTTTGTGTGTAAATAAAATGGCCCAGTCCATGTAATATATTTTTAAACTTGTAGTTTAAAAATTATAAAAACTGAACATCCTACAGTATTTTTACAGTCTTTATTTTACAGTTAAAATATATGTTTATCAAATAAAGTCTAATGTTACAACTAATCGGGGATCCCTTTAACAAGTAAAACACAAATAGGAATATGTAGGTTTTACTTTAATCTACTCATTTTCACACAGATGGCCTTATAAGTTGTATATTCATTATGTACATACAAATATGCTGTACACTTTGTTGCTTTGTCTATTTTAAGTTGAAGATTTATCTTAATTTACAAGTAAAGTGATTTTAAAAAAAAGTGTATGGGCAGTTATACCCAGTTTATTGTGCAGTTAAATAAAACCTATTTATAAAGTTTGAAACCTGCTGAGTTACACGTAGATGCTCTTTTAAAGCTTCAGGTATATAAATTTCTCTTATGCAAACAAGGCTTCATACATATAACCCTCTGCCTCAGAGTGCTGGACTCCGATTATTTTTTATCTGAGAAGGAATGAAGTTGTAGTCATTTTGGTCAAAGCTTGTAAATCATATATCTTGTTATATTTTGCTGACTATGTTAGCATGCAGAGTACTCGCTGCAGATGACTGAGGGACTGCCACATCAATTACCTCAGTATCTGTAAAACTGACGGTTATAGCCATTTTTGTCTCAGCTAAGGTTGATTAGTTGTAGAGAACATTTTGAATTAAATTAAAGATACTCATTGCAAAGTGTGAAATCAAACAAACTGAAGCATTTCAAAGAAGAATAGTGAAAGGCAGGTCCACTCTCAGAGTAGACAAAACACTCATCTGAATCTGTCCAAACAATAGTCTGTTCAGCTAAATGTTTATAGCTAGTTTAATGCTTGACCTATTTTCAGTCGCACGATTCTGAAAGTAAACAAACACCTGAGGTACAGTCGTTGGCGTTCAGTCGTAAAGCTTGTTTCCAAAGAATCTCCGTTGTGAGAGACGTGTAACTTAATCTGCAGGTGAATTTAGGCCACATCACTGAGATTCACAGACAGTTTAAAGGCGTAGAACTCTACACTCCAATTTAGAGCTGATCAAACTCCCTGCAAAACTTCATCTGAAGAAAAAACATATAATTTACAGCGGGTAAAATAAGTATTGAACACGTCACCATTTTTCTCAGTAAATATATTACTAGAGGAGCTAATGACATGAAATTTTCACCAGATGTTGGTAAC